GCCAGTCGGCCATTTCAAACCCGATCCCCCAAAAAAAATGACGTGCATCAAGGTCCTATTATGTTTAATGTATGTACCAAATTTGAACAAAATCCGTCCATGCATAACTGAGATCCGGGTCAGAAATGGTGAAAATGTGCGATTTTGATGCATTTTCGGCCTTAAAATGGCCGCTATTCGGCTATCGTTAATCGGATTATGAAAAAAATGCATGTGCATATGTCCCATATAATGTGTGATGTATGAGTGAAGTTTGAACTTAATCGGTTCATGCATGTTCGAGATACAGGTGATCACGGACGCACAGTCACACGCATGGACGCACACAGGGCAAAACACAAGTCCCCGTTTTCGGACTACGTCCGAACAGGGACTAAAAAACTGGATCATTAAAATAGTGTCATAAAAAAGAAATGGCAGCACAATTCATCCTGATTTTTCCTAATGAATAACATAAGACTTGAGAACTATTAATGCGAATGCAAGTTATTAGTGATCTTACAGCAAATTTCAAATATAAGTGCAGAATTCTTGAATACATTTTTTTATTTTACAGCAAGTCTCAGAAGTATTGGGGCAGCCAATTTGCAAACTCGCTAGCAAATTGGCTAACTGCTTGGGTTTTGACTAAACGGTTGGTTGTCAAATCCCGCTGGTGTCGTCTTGCGGTCACGCCCACTTAAGGCGAATCTATGTAACAGTAAGGGACAATCCTCATATTTTAGGAGCTAATCAGCGACGATCTTTACAGTTGGAGAGCGATTTCACTTCCAAATATACCAGGGAAAGTGCTCTATGTTCTTCGTGTTCACACAAAAACGACGAATGAGGTAGATTTTTTTTAGCGGTTGGCATAATGTTACCTCAACGGATCGTTTGGGTGTGAAAGTTTGTTATTTCCTCCCTGACTTGTAGGAAACTTTTTCAACTTGTCTATTTAGTTTCAAACAGTGTTCAAAATGGTTACCCTCATATAGTAAATGTCGCATTTATCGTATTATTACTTGTACGGCCAGCTGACTGTGGCCATATTCAAGCTCAAATCATTCAGGGGAATCCAGACATGTACCAGGCTGCGTAAAAACATGCTATGTCCCCTAATGCAATATAGACTCGCCAAGAGTGGACGCGATCACAAGCCGGTGCCAGCGAGATTCCAAAGCCAACCGTTTAGTCAAAACGAAAGCAGTTAGCCAATTCGCTAGCGAGTTTGCAAATTGGCTGCCCCAATACTTCTGAGACTTGCTGTAATGAAATATTCACTGCTATACAAATTATCGTGGTTTCCCAAACACAAACATTCTTGTGTAAAAATTAAAATGATTCAAAATATTTTGTATCTGCTCCGTGCATCACAGTTTTTTGCACACCATAATTTTCCCAACAAAATACTAGTGCAAAGTTTTGCCAATTTTTATGTATTTTTTGATAATTTATTTGATAATTTTGGATCAAATGAACATAATTTCCCATTTGCTATGATTCTTGATCAAAATTTTTGAAAAATTATGTGGATTTTATTCCGTGAAAATAGTTGACACACAACCTGCTGACAGCCCCCAAATGTAGCTAGAATAAATAGGGGAAAATGGCGGGAACAGACTTTACAGTACTAGAGTGAAAATACATGTGCCAATATTTTACAGTAAAAGAATTAGTAATTGCACACTGTACATAATTGGGTGCATCAGTGCGCCTGCCAGTATTCTCATTACCATGGTTACCTTTCATCATTTCTGGTGCCATCCAATAGGGATTACCAACTACTGTGTATCGTTTCTTTCTTTCTTTGCGGTTGTTAGCTTTCTTTTCACTGGGTGATCTCTTGTCCTCTATCATCACTCTAGCAAGACCAAAATCCGCCACTACCACAGACTTGTCCTATCCAAATATAATGTAAATACTTGTTAAGTTCAACAAAACAGAGATGCAGAAAAAAAAGAATAGCATCTACAAATTTGTAAGTAGTTATAACCCACTACAAACAACACAAATTATTGTGATGACCCTGCGCTATTACCTCATTGTTGATGAAAACCTCACACATCGAGAGACTCAAACAAAATTGAGAATTAGTAACAATCTTAATCCTTTCGCTATCAGTTTGTCGCCCAAATTTTTCCACACTTTTTTTCTTATATATAAAATTTCTGGAAATAAACCCTATTTTTAGAGCCAATAGACAATATTTGTGTAAAGTTTTTATTAAAAAAATGTGACTATTTTTGTCCTAATCTTCCGAAGGAAAGTGCAGACTATTAAACGGGACTATTTTGTGAATTTGTGATGAAAAGAAAGAACTGGTGATGAATAAAATTGAATCAGGTTTGATACATTGGACAGAAGTTGAATGACGGAAAATGTCTCTAATGTAAGAATAACCAAATCAGGGATTAATGTCATTTTATGCTAAACTGTGGTCTTTACAATAACTTCAGAATAGGATTTCGTCAAGTCTTTTTAGAAGCAAAGACAACAAATAAAACAGATATATAAAATCTCATCAGCAACAGGAAAATAAGAAGTTAAACTAGCCTTAAGACAAATATACCAGCTGCCTAAATTCTTTCCTTCATGTTTTCAATTGTTTTTTTTAAATGCTCGAAGTTTATTGTATTTTTATCTAGATCCCAAATGAGCATATGATTTCAATAAAATATTTCATTATTTAATATTATTATAGCAGAATGCCCATTTGATTGGACAAGAAACTATATGTGTTGGTATACACTGCTCCCATCTCAAACTTATCGATATATAATCAGTCCATCACAGGTAGCATAAGTTTGTTTTTACAGGTAGATATTTATGTTACATACCTCCCTGACAAGACAGTTCTGGGAATTCAGATCACGATGAATAATATCCATAGAATGAAGATATGCCTGTAGAATGGAATGGAATAATTATTATTAACTTCACTCTGTTTTTAGATGGAGTGAATGTTGTTTACTTTGGTTACGCTTCTCATCACCTGTACTTTGAAAAGTATACTTATTGAAAGCATGCAGAAGAATTTTTTATTTCATTTTGATGGCTTATATTACCAAAAAGAATTTACGCATGGTCAAAAGTATTACATAAATTACATGTATTAGGTAATTTTTGCTTCACGATTACCCGGTACGTCACATTAGAAACTTTTCTGTGTTTACTTCATTTGCATATAAAGTGCAATCAGAGCATGCGATGGAAATAGAATCCCATCTCTGAATGCAAACGTTCTTCCTTGCCATTTTAGGCTGTTATCTCTGTTAAATAGTTAATACAAGCAGAGAAAAAGATGTATAATAATAAGGTTATCACGGGAATACAGCAAAATATGCACTTGGGAACCTTTAAGTTACTCGCTGACAAAGATTCACTGGTTCTCAGCTCCCATTCCAAATAGGATGCCAGTAACTATTAATTTCTCTGGGCCGTAATTTCAGTCTTTAATTCTCACAACCAAGTGATGTAATTTGAAAACATTTTAAAATTTGTTTGGGGCAATCATCTCGGTATACTGCAATAACGTCACGTCAAATCAATCTACCAGTGACAAGATTCTATACTTGCAATCACTCTAGCATTTCTACCTATTTTTTGCAGAGAAGGGGATAATAAATAATCGCTGCAATGTGGGAGAATAAATGGAAACCTTTGCTCTAGATATAGAATTACCACTCCCTGTGATTAAAGTACAAAACAAATGTCAGCTAACCAAGAAAATCACAATGCCGGAGCCCTTACTACAGTGTAGTTACCTGCCTTGCCATGACACTTGAAGCCGGAATCAGCCAAACGAAGAGAGTACAATAAATACAAAATATACAACATCAAGTTGAAACCCTTACTCTGTAAACCACTTTAATTTTACAGGAGAAATTTTTTTAGCAAATTAGTGAAAATTATACCATTTTGTAGCAGTGAAAATTACTCTGGAATTATTTAATCTTCACCAATGCCATAAAATTATATTCTTTACAGCATACAATTACTCACCAAGCCTGTAGCAATATCACGTGCAAACATTACTCTTTGTAACCATGGCAATGCATTATTCTACAAACAAAAGATAACACTGCTTTAGAAATGAGACAAGTAATATACTGTGAAATACTTTATTTTCGCTGGAAATTAATTTTCGCTGAAAAGTCTTTTTTGGCATTTTGTATGGAATTTATTTTCACTGATTTTTGACGAGTTGAATGTGAAATATTGGGAAAAAAGTATATTCGCTGGATTTTATTTTCACTGAATCATCCTTTCAGCGAAAATAAATTTCAAGCGAAAATAAAGTATTCTACAGTAACATTGAATTTGTGAGTAACAGGGTACATTTTTTAACTGCTGCTAAAGTATAGTCGGTGAATTTAATGAAGATGCTCCTTTAATCATCTTTTGAATTGAAGGTATTATCCTAGAACTTGAATAATACGTGTCATTATCATAATAAATGGAGTACTGTACAATACTTTATTTTCGCTTGGAATATATTTTCGCTATTTTCGCTGAAGGGATGATTCCGTGAAATAAAATCCAGCAAATATACTTTTTTTCCTATATTTCACATTAAACTCATCAAAAATCAGTGAAAATAAATTCCATACAAAACGCCCCAAAAGCCTTTTCAACGAAAATTAATTCCAGCGAAAATAAAGTATTCCACAGTATATTAAAAGAAAATATACTTATCCAAGTAGTTGATTTATTATATGTTTATGATCAAACATTTCTGTTGTTTTTTTCAACAATGTGCACTGGTCTACACATCGTTCTTTTTAATAGGTTTCACACTGTTTTTCATTTTCCAAATGATATATAAAATAAAAACGACCAAAGCGCATTTTCTGTCTTAATGTACGAGTGTGTAGAAACAAGCGTAGCTTGTCAGAATTTTGAGATGGGCTTCTGTTATCAGTCGGAATGGTGTTTGAATGACAAATATGCATAATGTTGAAAGGTAAATACCACGTCAGAAAGCAGATTGAATATTATGTGAAACTATGGCAGCCTGATGGTGATCTTTATAGTAATGAGAGGTAAATGTTGTTTGACTTTTTACTTTGAAATATACATTGAGAGAATTATTTTTTAAAGTTGAAAAGCATATAAAATCTCAAACAGATACGACACATGATGTGATATTATCCAAAAAAAACAAAAATGATGTGATCCAGTTTTTTGAACATGAAACAATTGAAAGGTAATTACCAGGCTAAAACGCAACTGTTATTTGCAAAATTTGAAATGAATTTTCTCAATTACTGTGGAATACTTTATTTTAGCTGGAATTAATTTTCGCTGAAAATGCTTTTTGGGCGTTTTGTATAGAATTTATTTTCACTGATTTTTGATGAGTTTAATGTGAAAAATAGGAAAAAAAGTATACTCACTGGATTTTATTTTTACGAAATCATCCCTTCAGCGAAAATAGCGAAAATAAATTCCAAGCGAAATAAAGTATTCTACAGTATGTTATGGATTATGCAATAGGTACTTACAACATCTTTAATTATATCTCTGAGTGTACCGCCTGCAATGTGTTCTGAAAATAAACACAAAATTATGAGCAGTGCGTGTTGACAATAATACTACAGAAACAACAATGAAATGACATCATTTTTCCTGCCAACATTTGTGAGTAACAATTCATTTGTTAAATTCTGGTCGCTATGGACAAAACTTTCCACTAGCTAGATTATAAGTTGGTAATATGAATGTGTGTGGTCTCAATAATATGATATGCAATACACAAGTTTTCAGATTAGAAAACAACATAGCTTATTACCTGTGACAAGATTGAGCCTCCTGTCTTTATAGAGCACACCAATAAACCTGAGAACATTTGGATGGTCCAATAATTTCAATACCTTCACCTGGAGTATTAAAATAAATATATGCGTTTGTGAATGATAAAATAAACTTTATTTTACTTCTCACTTTTCATATACTATGACAGAACCCCAAAGCCCTTCCTGTGGCTTTCGTTGCGTATGGAATGATGCAGTGTATCCTGTGGCCGTACTTTCACAAGCGAAACCAGTGAAAGTAGGGGCAGAATACATCACATCTCAAGTGAAAATAACTTCCATACGCAACAAAAGCCACGAAGAGGGTGTGGGGTTCTGCTATTATTATATATGTTCCATATTTGATTATTTCACATATTAAAGAAAGAATGTGCAGCAAACCAGCATGGAATTTAGGTCGGGGAGCCCCTTTGCCCATTAATATGTTCCAAGATAGTATTACGCCCTAGCAGCGCGTGTCAGTGTAGAGCTTGTGTCACTGTTTGTTTGGAAATAAAATAATCAGACTACAGTACTTTGTTTGCTCTTAAATCTCATTTGCATGGAAATACCAATTTTGATTTCAGGGACGAATCAAAATAAACTGCAGTACATATGAAATAAATGTACTTATGCATCCTCCAATTCTACCAAGAGGTCATGTATTTGCCATGTTTATGAAATGCTTTTTTTTACTCATAGAATTGTATTTATTTGTTGTAAAACGATGTTAGGATTTGGTTGCAATCATTTGGCATTTTTGTAGGCTCTATGGTATGGCATAAGAAACATAGATTAGTGCAAACTAGCCAAAGAGGGCAAACAATTCAGAATCTGCCAAAGTATAATAGCGAGGTGATGCAAAAACAATATAACCATTATAAGCACTAATCTGAATAGTTCAGTTTGGATTCATCACACTATTGAAAGTTTTTGAAAAGTTGGTAGGTATACCACATGTATATAAACAGCACAGCACACTCATGAATACCTCTTTAAGAAAATTCTTTTCAGCCTCTTCATCAAATTTGACAAGCTCTTTCATAACCATCACTTCACCAGTTCGTTTGTGTGTAACCTGCAAGATATTATGTCATGGAAACTATTTCAACACAACAATTCCATGAAGCATCAAATATGAAATCTCATTCACTGCCACACTGTGCAAGTGTGTATGTAGGTCTGTGCATTCGTGCATATGCATGTGTAAACTGAGAACGGACTTCTCAAGGTAGAGTGAACCAAGTGAGTATTGGTCACCAAATCCGGGAGGAGAATAACACACTGGAGAGGAGCACTTGTAGCCAAGGTGTTTATTGCTCAACTGCTAGTCTAAATACTCACGAGATGTTTCATGAGAATGTATCAATATCATTATGTGAATAACTAAACTAAACGTCATAGCCTCAAATCATTACAGCATCTATAAGAGAAATCTGTCATTCAAGCCTTTGTGTTACCACCTTAAAGGAGTGTTCTTGTGCAGCACACTTTCAAATTTTGTGTAAGCAAACAATCTACTTTACACACATGCACTACGGGATTTGTATTGAACAGGACACGCAATGACCAGCATTTTTTAATCAACTACGTTTGTTTACAAAATACACACAGAATCAAATACAAATATTTAATTTTAAATCTATTTGCAAGTTTAGATATTGCAGTATATTTGACAAGTTGATGAATTTCCAATCAACCAATCAGATTTACTAAACTCAATAAGCTGACTGGGATCATTGTAGAATTCTCTGAAAAGCATAATGATTGTATGCTATAAGCCATTGTACTTGTTAACGTTCTGTGTGGGGTGAGTGTACACAGTCACCAGACAAGGGGACAGGGGCGCAGCACCCTCATGCCATGGCCATGCACCCCCTGACCCTGGGCAGCAGATCCTCTGTCAACCATAAAATTCTGATTGACGGGATCACATGTGGCAACAGTCTTCAACTGTGACCTGTCTGATAGTAATTTTGGCCCCAAGGAAGCCATAGAATGCTCCATTTTAACTTAGAATTACCAAAAGCTCCACACCCTGGTAGGGAGAATCCTATCTCTTCCACTTGGTGGTGCCGCTGTTGTTAAATATACAAAATACATATACATGTATGTATTGCTGTTATTCAAACAACTTAAGAGGAATTTTATCACAGCTTATTGTGAGCCTGTGTTGATCAGTGAATGACATTTGCTAATACAATTAACTATTAAATTTTCCCTGCTAATTTTCATAATTTCAGGATTTCACGTCATTCAAGACAAAATTTTGCAAAAGCCACTGACATTCCGTACCACAGGACAAGAGAGAAATTGTCACTGCTACAAACATTTGAAAATTTTGTCTTTTGCGAAATTAGAGCAGTTTTCAGTATGGTATAAATGTAATTTGCAACTTAAACTTGTCTTTCTAATAATAATAATCTTTATTGCATAATCGCATCCTTATTAGGATATTGATTCAATTACAATAAAGATGAAAAACTGAGGAAGTAACAAAATGGAAGCGCTAAAATTGAATAATAAAAATACAAAAAAAAGAAAAGAAATAGTTTATTTATTTAGGGGCAGCTGGTAGTTTTTGAATGTGATAATTTTATATCAATTTTCAAAAGCGACAAAGTTTGTAATATCTTACCTTTATTGCCTGACCAAAGAATCCTCTTCCAAGTACTTCTCCTTTGACAAGATCTGATGATCTGAATATTCTGTGGTTTTTTGACTCTGATTTCAATGAGTGAGTTCTTGACAGGTCACTTGTTGGCGACGTAATCACAGTAAATGGCCTTGTAGACCTGCAATATCACACATAATTTTGAATTTCAGAAATAGAATTAGGTTTAAGGAGTTTTGGAAGAATTGAAGATTATATGTCTAATATTGTACATTATAACATCAGGGTACCCAAAACGAAAAAAAAAAAATAATTTTTGAGAAATGTTGAGGAAAATTAATATTTCTTCATATGTCAAAATTTTGCTCAGTCACAAGGGATGAAAAAGTCATATATTATCATTGACACAGTGAATCATAATATTGTTAAAACATTTCATAAAACTGACATTTAGTAAGTCTCCAGTTTTTTATTATATACAATAAGAAGTTGTATCCCATAATGCATTGCATACATGTGCAGTAACATGCACAGTAGCCCAAAATTCGGCTCAAACTGCCTGGAATCAGTAAGATGGTAAATTATAGTACAATCGCACAACTATCCTGCCATAGTAATTCATAACAAGAGACTGCATATGCATTAATGGTAAAGGCTGCACTTACCTTGTTGGCACAGAGGGGGAACGATCAAGTTTAATTCTTTGTTTCTTTCTATCTATAAAACCAATGCGTTGATTGCGATCAAATTCCAGTCTCTGTTGGCATGGGGATGCAAAGTCTGTCTCATCTGTGCCCCTGGCAACCAATGGTGAGGAATTTTCATCATTTTTAGTTTCCATGGTGATGAGAATGGATCACGTTCCACAGTCAAGTTAAGAAATTTAGAATTCTGTTTTAAAATTTGGTCAATCTGCATAAAAAGAAAATAACAGTGCAGTCACCAAGATTAGTCAAATTAAGATTAGTACAAGACATATACTGGAAGTGGTCTGTCTTAAGGTGTTAAATGACAGACAAGATTATTTTCAAAAAATTGGAAAATTTTATTTGGGCATATTTGTTTTCCATGCATCTTGTTTGACACACAGCTTGTTTACTGCACACCAACCATTAATGTTGTTCAGGCTTTAGATATTACAAACAGTCTGAACATACTTTGGGACAAATTATAGCAAATCACACATTAAATGAAATGTAGTACTGTAAACACATTCAATTACTTACTGGATCTTAATTTTGTTATTTACGCTGGTAAGTTAAATCCTGAATAATAAATTAAATGAAAATATAAAATCATGATTTTCATTGGAAAAGTCATGAATATCAAACCCAGTGTTTATAAACCAACACCCACTTGAAATTTAATGTTTTTACAGTATATTAAAGAGTGGTGGTCTTGTTCGATATGGGGCGCATAGCGATGTACGCAACATATGTAAAATACATTGTTTACAAAAAATTCAAAATTCTTGTGATTAAAAAATGTTTGAGAGTCTTTCCTAGGCGCGAGTCTTTCTTTGGTGAAAAAAACAAAACAAACATGCATCAACCAGGTAATAACAAACTACATGTATTTCAAAATGTAAATTTATCTTACCTCTGTTGAACTTTGACCTTTGATGGGTGTTCCATTGACTTCAAGTATTCTGTCGCCCACAGAGAGTGAGATACCGCCAGGCGCTTGTGTAACGCTGTATTAAAAGAAAACAAATCACTTTTAATGACATAGTCCCCGTTGGAATTAGGGAAAATGATATCAATGCCAAAAGTAAAGTAATAAGGACCAAAAGCATAGTTAATAATTTAGAGTGAAAAAGTGGCTGGTCTTTCAACAGAAATTAGATGTATTAAATTATTCTTCTGAAATCGTAATACAAACTGTATATGGTCAGAAATTAAACAGGATATGCTGTACATGCATTTGCCCAGGCTCATGTACAAAGATACGAGACATGAAAGAATCATCATGAACATGTATCTCAACATGTATAATGTTTGTATCAAATTTGAATGAAAACTAACAAATCCTGTCCAAGATACCACATTTTCAAAAAACCAAGATGGATGCCAATCGGCCATATTAGATCTGATTATGGATCAAACTAACATGGACATGTATTTCTATATTTATGATGTATATGACAAATATGAATGAAAATGGTCTCTTAAAGCCTTGAAGATATAGTAATATGATCAAAAAGCAAAATAGCCACCAGTCAGCCAACTTCGATTCGATTGTAAAACAAATAGAAATGTAATCCAAAATGTAAAAACACAAACTGACAAAGCATGAATAAGATACCACATTTTCAAAAAATAAAATGGCTGCCAGTCGGCCATTTTGGATTGAATCAGAAAACCACTGCATGTACACATGTCATAGATAAAGTACTAAGCACATGCAAAAAATAAACAGATTTGGTCCACACGGCTCTCAAATATGATTCCAGACAGACGGAGAGATGGACGGACAGAAATCGTTCTAACAGGAAGTAATTAACATAATGATACAAATTCACAAATCTGACTGCAAGTCTGTTGAATTCACTGTGGATACAGATTTAACTCAGCTATGTAATAAACAAGTCCCTAACTCGCATAACCATCCATATACACAGAAAAAAAATCCAAATTATGTCTTGAAAATTATACAAAACAAATGAATTCTGTTGGTCATTATTTTTCTTGCCATAACACTTGCAGGGTCGTATGAGGGAAAGTTAATTTAAATAATGCCTACAAACTACACAATACAGTCCAAATTTATAATTAATTATAACAAAAATAACTTACTTTGTAACACATAAACTTTCTTTCCTTTGTATATCATCATTTTCGGTACTGATAAAATTACTGACGTGTCTCTCGAATGAAAGCGTCAAACAACTGCGTCCCTCTGGAGTGGGCGGTATGGTTAGCAGCTGAACAGTATGTGGAGTCTTCGAATTCGGTATACTCAGGACTAGGGGTACAACAACTTGTTGATAGCATCTACCACTGCCAAAGTAAAAAAATCAACAAGTCATTGAAAATGAAACAGTCCCCGTTACATTTTTGAAAGTTCTCTTTGTGCTCGTCATGTTAAAGCAGAGGGGTTGTCGCGAGCGTGTCCTTGAAACTTGAATTCCAAGTGGCGTGTACAACAGATTGTTTATTTACATCAAAACGCGTGTTTCGTGTAGTAGTAATATGGCCAAAAATAAAAACAGCCGTTATTCGGCCATCTTTGATTTGATTATGAAACACACTGATATGTAAAATGTATGTGCCAAATACGAATGAAAATCATACATAAATTGTGGAAATATAGTAGTAAGGCCAAAAAGTCAGATGGCTGTCAATCGGCCATCCTTGACCAGATTTTGATACAAATTGTCATGGACATGCATCCTAACATGTATAAAGTACATGTATGTGCCAAATTTGAATGAAAACTGACAGAGCACGTCCAAGATACTGCATAAAAAAACAAAAACAAGATGCCTGCCAGTCTTTGATACAATTGCGAAATAAATCGTCATGGACATGTATCCTAACATGTATAATCTATGTACCAAGTTTGAATGACAACTGACAAAGCATGTCCAAAATAAAACATTTTCAAAAAACAAGATGGCTGCCAGTCAGCCATTTTAAATCGAATCACTAAACCACTGCATGTGCATATGTCCCACATAAGGTACTAGGCATATGCAAAGAATGAACAGAATCGGTCCAAGGGATTCTGAGATATGACTCTGGACGGACGGACACACGAACGCACCGACGAACGGACGGACAGAGACCGAATTATAAGTCCCCGTTTTTGGACTTCGTCCGAACGGGGACTAATAATAGCTGGATTGTAGAATCTCAACTTTATGTAGCACCACAGATAAGGGTATGCGACTGTCATGATATTTGCAATGAAAATCCAAATATAAAAGCTTACAAATTGTGAGATAAGAACAAAATACTACCGGTACTGTAAAATACACTTTAATTTTCGCTATTTTCCCTGAAGGAATGATTTATTGAAAATAAAATCCAGCGAATATACCTTTTTTCCTATATTTTACATTCAACTTGTCAAAAATCAGTGTAAATAAATTCCATACAAAACACCCAAAAAGTCTTTTCAGCGAAAATAAATTCCAGCTAAAAAAAAGTATTTTACAGTAATACAAATGAGTGAGTTCATTAACGAACTACTAACAGTGTTTGTTTCAGGTTATTATACTGTGTGCATTACGCTTTTGCCTATTTCATTATTGCAATCATTTTGCTCAATCAACGCATCTATACATGCAGCATATACTGTGGAGCTATTGGTTGAAACAAGTTTGATTGACACATGCATGGTACTCTTGCAGACTGAGATTTCATTTCATATCACCATACACAGATACCTGAGATTGCACATTTTTTGTGGTACCTAATATTGTGTAATAAAATGGGAAACTTTCATGTTTGCTTGACACCTATTGTATTTACAATACTCCTTGCCAGAACATATACACACAGTGATGAAATAATTGTTACTAACCAGTATAGTTTGGATCTTTCCACTAAAGCATAGCTTTCTCCATCCCCAATGTAAATATTGCAGTTAACACAAACAAAACACTCTGGATGATAACGATGATCACCTGCTACCTATGAACAATGAACCAACAATTATACATAGTCAACCTAATGAATAAACTTCCATAAATACTATCATATTTTTGTTGTTGATAAAAACCTGTAGGCTATGGTAAAAAAAAAAATCACATCGAGTCATCACAGTCTTCACAACAAATAAAACTTGAGACAGCCATTTTGAATCAGAACTTGAAAAGAATGTATGTTGATATATGTGACAGGTTTAAAGTTGATATCAGGCATATGGTTCTGAAATAGTATTTGTTAAAATGTCCATTAATCGGACATTTTGAATCAAATCAGAATCTATGTTTATTTGCTGTTGATGGTCCAATTATGTTCAATGCATAAAAAGTTTCAATGAAATTTGTTCAGGCACAACAAGATCTGGTTACAGAATAGACGATCACTTTTTTTTTTCAGTTTGCTTGATTGCAGTACAGTACAACTAACCTTCCCCAAATTTTAAAGTTACATGTAATTTAAATACAATATTGAATTTATCAGTGACAGGTAAAATGTATTGAACATGTCACGATTTTCTCAATATTTCCAGAGACACAGCAAAATGGAACTTGGGAAAATTTTTATACTGATCAGTAATGTCTCAAGATATGATATTATTTGGATTACGAAGTTATTGTACATCATGAACAATTATTAAAGATGATGAAAACCACATTTTGTTAAACCTTTGATTACCTAAGTCAATTTTGGTCATCGTCACAACTTCAAAATGAATATCTTTTAATAATTTTTCCCAAAATCTTGATTAAGACTTGCAGCCAATTTGGTCCAAATTTATTTTAAAAAATGAGAAAAATACATAAAACAGGTCAAACGTTGCACCACAATTTATGGTGTTCAAAATATCATCAAAATAGCATCAAAATAGCATAACATCATCTCCAACACCTGAATATATTCAACTAAACTTAAACTGTAATTTTTAAGAGTGTGATCCATAGAGTAATATCGCGGCAGTGTTGCCACACCCCACTCCCCTAAATCGACACTAAACCTACCATTACAGGTCCTGTTATTAACTGAACACATCCATGACAAGCCGAGCCGTACTTTGACCAGTAATCTGTCTGACAAAATAACACCCCTTCTTTCTCAAAGTACCAATCAAACAACTTACAATGGCACTCTGAACACCTATTGAAAGAAACATAAAAATAATGATCACTACATGCAAAAGTTGACCCACTTTATTTGTGTTGCAACAAAGGACTACTTGTACACACAGACAATGTGATCAGGTTATATACCTGTGTCTGTTTTGTTTCGGGAAATAATATTTTTATGTTAGTGTATAAGTAAATTATTAACAACATTATGCAAAGCAAACACTAGTTGAAGCTGTATTGAGGAAGTAGAACCAAAAAAAAAAATTTACACTTTTTTTATTCCCTAAAATGTATTTTGTTATTACGCAAAATATTTGCCATTTCTAACAGATTCGATCAATTTTTTTTTTTGTATTTCAAATTTGTTTTAAAAAAATAGCACTATCACATAAAACATTAAAAAATAACACATTTTAAAAATAAAATCAAAATGTGTATTTATGGTTGTGAAGACTTAAGTTTACTGTAAAATATTTTTCTATAAATATTTTTGCTAGAATTAATTTTTGTTGAAAAGACATTTTTTCTTTTTTGTATTTCACTGAATTTTGATGAGTTGAATGTAAAATATAGTTAAAAAGGTGTAGCGGGTCTTTTTTTCTCTGATTCAGTGAAAATAGCGAAATAAAAATAACAAGCAGCCTGTCGGCTGAGATAGCTTCGCTGTTAGCAATGCACATGGCAATTAAAGAACAGAAGATATCATTAGAAAATGAAAAAATCTGAGAGAGGTCCACATGTAGTACCTATATGTATAATACTGTAAAATGACTAATTTTCACTGGGTTTAAAATTCACTGATTTGCCATTATCATTTAGATAATGTGTTCTATGCTAAATTTTACATATTCACTGGGTTTTAATTTAGCGCATTTTCCAGTCAGGGAAATAAGCAAAATTAAAACCCAGTGAATAATTAACCCCTTTACAGTATATCAAGCAATTGGACTTGTGGTTTTCAACAGAAGTCGAAATATCACTTTT